CTCTCCCTCCCTCTGTGTTGGTGGGCTTTTTTTTTTTCCTGGATGGAGAGGATACTCCCTGTGACAAGCTCCTCACAGCTCCTGATCCCCAGGCAGTTCCCAGCCCGGGATACGGGTCGGTGGTGTCGTGATTACTTTTTTTTTAAGGACCACATGAGAAGGTTTTGTCAACTGGGAAAAACAGATGTTTCATTATCAATAAAGAGTTCTTTGAAAGAGTCGGCTCCCGCAGCAGGGTGCGAGCAGGGCAGGGGGTGGGCAGAGAGCAGCTGCCTGGGGAGGGAATTTTTTCCAGAATGCTCCCAGCGGGTTCGGAGACACCCTTTGCAACCAACAGGGAATATCTGCGTGCACCCCAGAATCCCCTCCCGGGCAGTAAACAGGGCTTGTCGCGCTGTAGCTGCCTAAAATCTTTATTGAATAAAAGCTCTGGATACAGAGGAATTTCCCAGCCCAGGAGCCGCTTCCAGCTCTCCGGCCCTGCCGAGAGCAGGATACATGCCAGGGAGGAGCCACTGTGCCAGATGGAGCCTTGCAGCACTCGGCTGCCCTGATAGTGGGCACGCTGGAAGGAAGCCTGTTGTGCTGGCGAGGCGAGAGGCAAGGAGGTTGCTTTCTGCCTTCCCAAGGGCTGTTTCACAGGCTGGATTGAGGGCTCATGCTGTGCCCTGCTCCTGCCATGCTCGCGCTGGTCCCTTTGCCCCTCAGAGGGACAAAATGCCTTTGCAGGCTGCCAGTTTGCATCTCAGCTTGGTAATTTGCTCTGTAAAATGACCCCCACCTCCCATTAGGCTGAAGCTTCACTGTCCCAGCCCATGGGAAGGATTTGTGCGTGGTAATGGGTGCCCAGATCCACAGCTGTCAGGCAGGGCTGTCTGTACTGGTCCCGGAGAGCACCTGGGATCCTGCGCAGGGCTGCACCATGGGGATAGACACTTTGGGTGCTGCCACCCTGCTTCAGCCCTCCCATGGCTGCATGCCCTGCGCTTTTACTGGCCAAGCTGCCTTTGCAGCAGGAGAGGCAGTGCGGTGCCTGCTGCGGCCTGCTCGGTGAGCAGGGACTCCCTGCCCTCCTCACCAGGAACGTGACAGCTCCTGTCCTGCCTGCTCCAAAGCAGCCCTGGGTGGTAAGAGGAGGGAAAAGGAGCAGGAATCCTGAGTGAACCCTCCAGTTCCCAGAACCAAGCACCAAGCTGCTGCGGGGACCAGCAGCGTTACCTGTGCTGGGAAACATCCCCACTGAGGCAGGCATGAGATGGGCAGCTCCTGCCCGCTCGGTGTCGCACATATTGTAGCTGCTCCCCGGGGATAAGACATTACAGACAATCCAGGACTAACAAGAGACAAGTAGACAGAAATCTAGTTCTGAGGCGACCCTGTGCGAGCAGGGGACCCGCGGAGACAAGCCCCGGCCTCGCTGCCTTGTGCAGGGGAAGTTCAGATCCACACTGAGCCCTCAGTGCTGGCTCCGCTTGCGGTACAGGTAAGCGTTGCTCACCTGGTTCATGATAACCAGGCTGGTGAGAAGGGGACACAGCATGGCGAGGTACCAGGACACACTGGTCACCGAGGTGGTGAACCACAGGGAGCACATGCCCAGCATCAGGCTGGCACAGCCCAGCAGGTAGCCCACCAGCCCCGAGGTCGCGTGGTACAGCTTGAGCTTGGCCAGCGTCCAGTTCTTCATCAGCTTGGGATAGAGCAGGAGCACCCCTCCCATGCACTGCCCGCTGGTGTACAGCACGGTGAGCAGCCCCGTCAGGCCGTGCCAGGTGACGAAGTGGGCCTTGCCGTTCAGGTGCTTGTTGTAGGTGATGACACCCAGCCCCAGGAGGGCGCAGAGGAGGGCGAGCAGCTGGAGGGCCCAGTGCACCCGCACTTTGACTTTGCGGGAGAAGGAGCGGAGCAGCGAGGTCTCCGGGGAGAATATCAGCAGGGCTTCCGTCATCAGGAACGAGAACTGGGAGACAGAGGGCAGGTGGGATTGGCACCGGGGACAGAACCGGCAGCGGGTCCGCCTCTCCCGGGGCTCAGCCTCCCACCACCCACGGAAAGCAGAGGGGGCTCGTCCTCTG